CCTACAATAAAAAAAAAAAAGAAAAAAAAAAGGTAAATAAATATAATCAATTTAATCAAAGATAAGAAAAGTACTTACATGAAAGCTGGCATTTAGAACCTAATTAGCTTCACTCATAATTACTAAAAATGACATGATTATCTAAAAGAAAGGTTCATTTATGGAAGTTCAGAGTACAAAAAAAAACTAAAAACCAGCAACGGGTAAAAGCTTCAAGAACTTACAGTAGTAGTGATGAACCTAGTGATGTTGAGGATGGCGATATAGAAATAAGTGTTTTAGGAGATGAAGAAGCGAATAGCATAATTACAAGACTGTTGCAAGCAGTTCCAGAAGTAACTAATAATCGGCCACTTGTGTACATTGGAAATTCAGAAAGAACAAGAAGGTGACGAAAACAATTATTGCAACAAGCTGCAGTTGGAACACCTAAGTTAGAGTTATTTTGGTTACCGGTAGCTATTTTTTTGTCATTTAATGATAATATGGTTAGTGGATTGTGTTTATATTTATTGAATTATTTTTTTTTTGAATAGAGAGTAGATACACATATGAGTGATGGTGTGGATATGAATGATAAACAGATTGGTTCAGATAGTGACTTTGAAAATGATTTTGAGGTTGAGGCTATAAGAGACCATAATATAATGTCTTCTGAAATCTTGAATAGTACAATTGAACAATTGAAAAAAGAAATCAAAAGCGATAAATATAGTGAGGTTGAGAAGGCTCACCTCTATACAATGCTATCTTATTTATGTCTTGTGGAACATAGCCGACAAAGAGTTGAAGCAAGCATTATTGTAGCAGAAGCAGCTAGAAAAGGTGTTTATCATGTCTGATATATACGTTTATAAACAATAAATTATATTTTAAATAGAACAATTCTGATTTCAAAACAGGGCAAACACCCCAAAACCTGGAGTTTCTTATGGGACGATGATATTTTGATGCAGATTAAATTCTTTTTCTGATCAAATAAGTGGTGTGTTAATGCAAATAAATTGGCAAAACACATAAATGAGAAAATACTTCCAGGTTTTTGTTTCGATCCATCACCAACGATATGTATAAGAATAGCTAGAAAGTGGCTAAAAACATTTGGGTTTGAATATTCAAAGATTAGAAAAGGAATGTATATGGATGGACACGAGTGTGCAGATGTAGTAGCTTATCATAAAAAATTTTTAGAAAAAATGGAGAAATATGAAATACATATGATAATTTTCTCTGATGAAAATATAGAAGAGAAAATTAGACCAGCTACTCATGATATTATAATTTTGGTAACACACGATGAGTGTATTTTCTCAGCATATAATGAAAGACGTTGGTTATAGATACCGAAAGGGAAGCAGCCACTTTGCAAAAAAGGCCAAGGAAGGTCTGTTCATATAAGTGAATTTCTCACTGATGTTGGTAGACGTTTAACATTAAATGAAGAAAACAAGGTATATATATGATTTTAAATTTTATTTCAATTTACTTTTTTTCATAATTAAAGAACCCTAATTAAATTTTTTTTAAATCACTTTTTCTAATTTCCCATCAGAAGCATATGTTATAACTTATCTAGGTAAAGATGGTAATAAGTGGTGGGACTCAGATGATCTTGTAGACCAGGTAATTAATCATGCAATCCCAATCTTTAAAGCTTAGTTTTCAGATGCAAAAGCACTTTTTGCATTTGATAATACGACCAGTCATCATGCATATGCTGAAGATGCTCTTTTGGCAAAAAATATAAATTTATCTCCTAGTAGCAAATAGCCTAAAATAAGGTTTGTATATTTTTATATATATAGACTGTGTTTTGACAAAACATCACCTATTTTTTCTAGCATATGTTAACGATACTTTAATTTTTTATATATTCAATATTTTCAAATGTTTAGAAGCACTACATATAGAAATAATATTTATCAAGATATGTGTTTTTCTGAGGATTATAAAGATCCTAAATTGCCAATAGGCTTAAAGGAAGTTTTGCATAAAAGAGGATTGTGGCATGATAGAATGAAGTTGTTATGCAAAGGAGGATGTAAGCAAGAAAAAACTAATTGCTATGCTAGAACTAAAATGGCAAATCAACCAGATTTTATAGCACAATGTGGAAAACTTGAGGAGGCAATTATTGCTGCAGACCATAAAGTTATTTTTTATTCAAAATTCCATTGTGAATTAAATTATCTAGAAAACTTCTGGGGTTTAGCAAAGCGATATGCATGAAACCACTATGACTATACATGGGAAGATTTGAAGAGAACAGTACCAAAAGCCCTTGAATTAGTATCTCTTACTAAGATTAGACAATATGCTCTGAAGGCTTTTAGGTATATGGATGTGTATCGCAAAGGTTTGACAGGAAAAACTGCAGAATATGCTATAAAAAAATATCGATCTCACTGCCGTATTCCGAATACAGTTTTAAATGAAATTGGTATAACAAACAATTAACAAGTAGGCAAAAATTTTTATAATAAGTTTTGTTATATTTTATTTTTTGCCATTTAATAAATTAAATTGTTATATTTATCTTACGTTAGTATCAATTAAATATTAATTGGAATTGGGATAAAAAAAAGACATTTATTTATTGTCACAGATTATAATGAAATCAAATTAAAATAAAATTTAATGTTTTCTAAAATCTACTTATACAAAATTTTATTTTAATTTGATTTTATTTTAACCTACCATATTTATTGTCAAATAGTTGAGTTTTAATGAGCGTATTTAGCTAAAAAAAAAAAAAAAATGGGTAAAATTAGTATTTACAATATTTGTATTGTTCATCAAAATCAAGTTATATTAACCTTAAATTGTTATAATACAAGGAGGTACTAAATAATTTGAATCAAACTTATAATTGTTAGCAGTTTTTATAATACTAACAATTGGTTTATTAAAGAATAATAGAATCAAATCATTCTTTGTTTAACCCAAACCTCTGAATATGATCAAATATGAGTTTTATATTTTTATTACAATGCAATTAAGATTTCTTGAGATAAAGTGTGAAATTTGCTGATTATTACAAAAATTTCTTTAAATAATGATTTTCCGGTTTTTTATATAATTATGGTTATTTTTTTAAACATTATGAGTGCTGCCAAGGGAAAAAAACACCTCTATTTTTAATTAATTATTGATTCCCTTGGCAGCACTTATATTGTATAGAGTTGATTTACAAAAATAAATAAGGAAAATCAAAAATAATAATTGTGCCTTTAATAAAGATTTAAATCTTTAGCATCACAATGCTTTCAACTAAAAAATTTGGATTCACAGATCCACTTTATCGTGTTAACTTAAATGTTATTAACCCAATTTTGCTGTCACAATAAAACTATATATTAATAATATCACATATAGTTGATTATGATTTAAATTACAAAATAATTACAAAATAAAAATATTTATACAATGGCATGGTTTTATTTTGTTGCAGGTATACTTGCTGGCAAAACCCAGACAAATCCCAAATTTCAAAAAAACAATTGCTATTTATAAAAGATTAAATCAAACAAGTAATCCTAATATTTTGCAAATATATTATTTATAAC